CAAGCAAGAAAAAGGGAACAAAGCTAAGGATGCTTAATCTCTAAGATACTCAAAATATATAAACCCCCTATTGAACTGCAGAAAATGAACGGGGATATGAACATAACAACTAACTGGCATAATTTCACTACCATAACTTCAAGGAAATTATCTCCTAGAAATCAAACAAAAAAAGTCCCATGTTTTGAAACAGACAATTTCAGTAGTTTCTTCTGTATTTCATGGATCTCGACTGTGACTTAAATCATCCAACAAAAACTAAAAAATTACAGTAACCTAGAGATTTCAGACGAACCAAACAAAAGAGTTTAAAAGTTGTTGGAATTTAGAACCACCTCAATGAGACTTGTCCTCTCTTCAAGTTCAAAGGGTCACCTTCGCCGCTACATATGGCCGCCGTCGCCGGAGATGGTCACAGAAAGAGAGAGAGCTGAGGGGGGTGGGGTGGTCGTGGACTCGTGAAGACGTGAACTAAGGTTGAGGAACGGCGCATAAATAATAGGTTACAAAAGGAAGAGTACGGTTTAAAAGCAAGCGAACCGAAAAGTTTCGGTTCGGTGTGGTCTGTACGAATATATTATATAATCGAACCGAATTGAACCGAACCAATTCGGTATAGGTCGGTTTTTCGATTCGATTCGATTTCTTTCACCCCTAATTGAAGCCATGCTAATTATGTAGAAATAAGTGATAGAAACAAATAAAGATGATACATAAGCGTACATGATTCATCCTAATGATCAATTGAACTTTAAAGCACCGAAATTGAATTTAAATTAAATTGCAATAATGTCATTTAGTTATCATTGTTATTTAAATCTTTGACCCGACATGTTAATGAATTCAATGAAGACTAATGAAATATTGTCATGGCCCCTCTAAGAAACAAGAGTTTTAGAAGGACAACGTCATTTTGAAATGCAAAAATTAAGGGTAGGGAAATTAAATGGTTGAATGACTATTCTTCTCGGTCCTCTTTTCTTCATTCAATGTTTTCTTCAAATTCAAGTGGTTAGGGTAAGGGCTAAATAGACAATGGAGGAAAAAACTTTATTTGGGGTATTGAGACCTATTTTCACGATCCAACAACAACATATTGGGATATTGAAAATAATCAATATGAAAAGAGAATATGATTGTTCGTCACTTCATAACATTTTGAGGAATAGCAGCAAGGTAAATAAATAAATAAATAAATAGGTCGATTATGCTATTATGGACAAAAATATCATTAGTTACCTCGTGGACAAACGAAAATCCGTCTAGTTTATTTTTTGGATGTTCAAATTATTGGATAAGTTGTATAGCTGGTAACCACTGGTGGGTGGCGACATAACAGGCTTGTGGTCGAATGGGGATACCACCTCCCTGGTTCGAGCCCCGCGGAGGGTCTAGTAGAGGCTCCCCCCTAATTCGGGGACGAGCCCTACAACATCGGTTACAGTGTTGGGTATCGAACTGAAAGCGAAATGTGAGTCTCATAGTCACCCATCACACAACTTTCAAACTCAACCAACAGTGCATCCTAGGAGATAGAGCCAAAGTGCTTGATCTTTTGCCCCATATTTTGAGATGCTCTTCGCTACTGATCAAGCGACAACGCTACTAGTGATAGGCTGACTTTTCTTGAAACTTGACTTCGATCGGTCGAGCCAACGTCTACCTCTAGCCAAGAAATTGTTTTTATTCACATCGAAGCATACATGAAATCTCTTAAATACAATGGATAGGTTCGACCAATTTTCACCTTTTATCACACAGTCATGAGCTCTGACCTTCAACTTCACACTAGTTCCACTATTACACCTCAACAACTCACCAAAATAGTCCCATCATTTTTCATATTGTTCTGCATTGTTCCCTTCAACCAACTCAATTGCTTTTCTCTTGACTCTGTATGCTATTAAGATAGCACACTGACTACAGTTTATATCAGTTTATTTTTCTGTTATTAGTTGCAAAATCAGTACTTGAACTGTTAGTAATTTGTTGTATTCTTCAGCCCTTCTATATAATGAGTTTACTGTACTCTTGATCAATTAATGAAGATTACAATGTGTTCTTGCCCCGTGGTTTATTCTTCATTCTACTAAATTCATATGGTATCAAAGCTACTGCTTAACGGCAATGGCATCCTCGATTAACAATGGAGCAACCACCATACCAGGACAAAGTTCGAGTTCAGTGATTACAAATCCAGGCCATCAAATTTCTTTAATCAAACTCACGGATAGCAATTACTTGCTATGGAAATTTCAGATCCTAATAGTGATTCAAGGTCATGGGTTAGAAAAGTACATCAAAGAATTAGAACAAGCTCCTCCGCAATTCTTGCCAATAATCAATAGTGAAAATGCAAGTACTGCATTACCGGAAGAAAACCCAGAATATACTCCCTGGAATCGGCAAGACAAACTGTTGTCATCGTGGTTATTGGGCTCGATGACTGAAGAAATCCTTGCGCAAATGATAGAGTGCACAACAGCAAGAGAAATTTGGAGATCGTTGGAACGATTGTACTCCACTGCTAATACAGMCAAAATTATGCAATTGAAAGGAGAGCTACAAAACCTGAAGAAAGGTAATATGAGTATTAAAGATTACACGATTAAARTGAAGAATCTTGTTAGTGCCCTGGATGCTGTTGGATGTGTTATAACAATGCAAGAACATATAGTTTACATCCTTTCTGGTTTAGGAATAGAATTGATTCTATTGTTTCTGTGATTTCTGCAAAATCAAAACCTAAACCTCTTCAAGAAATATATGCCTTATTGYTAACTCATGAGAACAGAATAGAAAGAAATGCAGTGATCAATTCTGATKGAACACAACCTGTAGCAAATCTTATGTTTCATAATACAGAGAAGAAACCTACTGATAATTCTATCAAGAATTATCACAACCAAAATAGCCAAAGGGGCAGCCGAAATAATGGGAAYAGAAATTTCCATAGGGGCAGACAATGGAATAATAATAATAGAGTACAGTGCCAGATTTGTGGCAAATTTGGCCACACTGCAATGAAATGTTACTTCCGGTTTGAGGGACAGCAGAGAAATGGATTGTCAAATGGTAATTCCCAACAGCAGCAGAATAGTGGTCAGCATTTTCAAGCGTATGGTCCCACTCATATGCAAAATCAGTTTCACAATGGACAAATGCAAGCAATGGTTGTTAATCCAAATTCAAATGTTGACAGCTGCTGGTATCCAGATTCGGGCTCCACGAATCATATTACAAATTCATCAGAAAATTTCACAGTTGGACATGAGTATTCAGGTGGAAACCAGATACATGTAGGGAATGGAATAGGTTTGGACATTCTTCTCACTGTGTTTATGCAAGGATATGCACAACAGTGTATTTCTGATTGCAGCTCGAACTCGGCCTCCGGACCGATCTGAATACTTGGGCGGACCTGCACAAAAAGGTGAGCACTCCGACGATCAAGTCAGTATAGGTCGGATTCCCAGTTTAGTTCGAGGTCAAGAATCATCGTACCTGATCGTGGAGTGAGGCCCTCTACTTATGGGTGGTAGTCCCGCCAATCT